ATTTAAATAAATTTAGGCAATTTTTTATATACCTGATTTTGATGCTCATGAAAGCCATGTGGCCTTGATGATATAAAAAAAAGTTGTACCCATTATTCTATGTTTAATAATCTTTCAGAAAACATAAAAATTTTGATCTGCAAGTATATGGATTTCCATATATGGTTAACGGGGCACAGGCCCTACTATTTTGTAGCGGAAACTTGCAATACATTTTTCACTACCTTTCAGACTAGCTGGAAAGATGAAAATTTTGGTATTTATGTAGTGTCAATAAATGTGCATTTTAAAATTAAAAAAGGGCCCAAGACACTAGGGGAGGGGGCTGGAGGGATGTGCCCTCCTTTTTTGACCAGAATCTTGAGATGGATTTTTCAGTATCTTCCAGACTAGTTAAAGCTTTGAAACTTTAAGCATTTGTGTAGTCCTGATGAACATGAATTAAAATTGTTTCAGGTCAGATGACCAGAAGGTCCATGGGGCTGGGGCATTGGGGACCATGCCCCACTTATTTTCTCAAAAAATTTTTTTTTTTTTTTAAACGCATGTGTCTTAAATTTAAGATAACTTTGAAAATATTGTATTCAAAAATTTTTATTGCTTTATGCTTGTTCCGTTTTACTTCATTATTTACAAAATAAAGTACAAAAAAAAGAAATTGTCAAGATAATCTAAGATTAGCTTAGATGCATCGACGGTCAAAGTATACAAACGTCCATTTGTTGTTACAGGTGCATCAATTATACAAGTTATGTTGGTAATTGGAACCCAACACTCATCTACTCTAGATGGCCAGAAAAGTTTATTAAAAGGACTTTGCGGGTGCATAAACGTAACCATAACATCTCGCTCTATATTATCAATTTCATTGATCATACCAATCCAATCAAACACATCATATTTACACATAATGAATTCACCAAATTTCAAGGCATCAATGTTAATTTTCTGATCATTTTGAGAACTTTGAATACCAAAAAAGAAAAAAATGCCTGTTATATGAACATCTTCACTTGTTTGTTTAAAGCTAATAGTATCTATAGATCCTGGTTTAAATTAATGATAGCTCCTAGTTCCAGGGATTGTTCTACTTAGCTCAAAACGTGTTTTCAAAGTGGTGCACAATTCTGCCCGTCTTTCTTTTTCAATCTTGAAAAAAATAATCCCTTTAATATTGTTAGTACAGTAGTCAAAAATTTTGTTACAATTCAGTATCTGGTCATTTATAGGCCTTTGTAGACTTGCATTTGTAGTCAATCGTTTTACAATGCCACCAATACCATCACATGATGACTTACCATGACTTGTAGCAAAAAATGTCCACTCTGCATCAATGTCAAAATCATTTTTATGGAGACAGATATTGTAAAGGTTTTTGTGGTTTTTATACTGTGCAGCACAACCATCAAAAAAATAAAGAATCTTTGAAATTTTAGGGTGATATTCTTTTAAATAGTTAACTATTTGTGTTTGAACTTCATACACAAAACCAGTGTCATGCTCATTATCTTCTGACACGAAGCAAAACAATTTTTCTTAAAATTGGTCTTTTTTGTTTAATAAATAGAGGGCAAGGGGGTGCAATGTGCATTGACTTTTGCCCCAATGGTAACTTTGGATTTCATCTTGAATCACAAAAGTGAAGTTTTCTGCAAAGTCAACTAAGACAATACAGCAGTTTTTTGCTAAATTTTCCTTTTGTTGCTTTAGGTATCTTGATTGACATTTTGCAATGTAGGAATGAGCTGTTAACTTGTTTATTGCCTCTGATAGCATCAATTTGTATTCTTCAATTGTTGTTGTCTGATAGATCAATGTTGCTCTGTTTTCTGCCACTGATGGATGAATGACACCTCCTCGTCATTGTCATTGTCAATTAGTTGTGCATCCAGAAACTTCTTTAAAGAAACTATTCCTGGACAGTTCGGACATTGATGAACCATGCACTCTTTACTTGTCACATCACAAACGACTTTGTCATCATATCTTTGTAAGTACATTTCATTTGTATAGCATTGGTCAAGAGTATTGCATTTTGATGGAGGGTACATACACAAACAGAATGAGTGCCTGATACTCCAACAGTTATACATCATTTTGGTCTTAAACTGCAAAACTTAGAAAATCCAATAACTTTTTAAGGATATTTAGTTTTAAAAGAAACATAAAGTTCTTTAAGATTACATAAAATAAGGCGCTTTTGCATGTGTTGTTTTCTACCAATACTTACGTAATCTTTTTTACCAGGCATTTGTCTAGTAAATTCTTCATCATGGTATATATTGTTGACTCTATTTAGTGTTATTTCTTTTCTTAGTTTTGTTTTGTAAAATGTTTTTCCTTTCTTAGTGCCTGGAACTGAAAAAATCCCACTTATTTTCTTTAGTTTGCGCGCTTCTTTAATTTGGTATATAGTGACGTTAAAATATCTTGCAGCAAAATTTCTTGACCAAGACTTGGGTGTAAATGTTAACAACTGAATTTTAGTTTTTTGGTCAGAAACAATTAACTTTTCTTTTATTTCTGCTGTTAGTTTGTCTAAATCATCACATTTACTTTTGTCAATAATTTTCGTATGATGAATTTTATGTTTCAGTTCTTCTTCCCTAACATTATATACTTTTGAAATATGTTCTTCATACTTTGACATTATTTTTACAACTTTACTTTTAGCAACAGATAGCCGTTGATGCTTTGGAATGCCATGAAGTTTTATGGGGGATACACCTATTGTTTCCAAACTAACATTTAATGGCTCTCGTGACTTTTCAGAAGTAGCACATGAAATAAATTCCTCAAATTCACAATTATCTTGTTCATGAAATTTACTGATTATAGCATCAAAGCAGCTCCGACAAAGTTGATATCCAGGCACCACATTTGGAAAATTAATTCTCAATTGTTTTACCATCTCTAATGTTGTTACATGACTCCCTGAAAAGAAAAGAACAATTTGATTTTAGTAATTACATATGAATATGAAAATTATTTGTACTTATTTCAATATATATTGCATAACCAGATCAGCTTTTTTTCAAACTTTTATAAACTAGTAGATTTTAATTTCATTATTCAAAAAAGATTTTACAATAATTTTTTATCAACAGTATTTACCTTTGATTGCTTTTTTTTTTTTTGATTTATGCTTGTCCAATAAATTACAACATTTTGTGTGCTTCTTTTCAAAGTGTGTACCAAAAATATTTTCATGATGAAGGCAGATTGTTAAAATTTTATCATCTATTATTCCAAATCTCCAAATAAATTCTTCTCTGGCATTTTCTCTATAGCAATCAAATTTCTTTAAATCAATCTTTCTACAATAATTTAGTTTATGACAAGTATCATTTAATTTTTTTCCAAAATCACATGAATCCATTCTTACTGTAACACTAAAAACATTTTGAGATTAATTTTAAAATGAGAAACCAATAGTAATTAATTCAATGAAAGCAACTTAAGCAATCACCATGGTAATACAAAACTAAACAGTGATTGATTTCTTTTATCTTACTTTGACAAAAAGAAAGTTTCCCTATCACAAAGTTTAATTATAATCAATTTGTTAATGTTAAAAATGTTAATGATGACTTTAATAGGTAACAAATTTCTTCTATACTAGTGTAATGACAGGATGTTTTTTGTTACTGTGAATAGTTCTTATTTAATAAAATTATCTGCTGTTAACATTTTAGAATTAGCAAATATCAAATAAAAAAATGATTTTGAAAAATTGATAAATTTTTTTTTATTAATGTAATGTTATGACAGGATGTTTTTTTCTGTTGGAAGTTAATTAAACAACTTGATGTTTCCATTTTAGCATTAAAATATATTATTCTTTTTTAATTAAAATTTTAAATTATACAAAATAAAATTCTGTTAAAACCATTATTTTAGACTGTTTTTAATCTTATACATGCAAATCAAAATTCTTATAAACATTAACTTTCTTAAAACATTTTAAGAAAGATCATTGAACATAGAATAATCAAAAACCAAATTGAACAATTATAAATCACAAAAATTTGTGAAGCAATGTTATCAAAGATATGTTTAACGTTGTTAAAAATGAAAATCTAAAAAAAAATTTTGAAAAATATTTTTTTACATTTCTGATTATTTCATTGGATTCTTCAACCCTGAAAATAGCCAGGTACAAATTTTTAAGTCAAACAATCAAATATTTTCAAAGCTATGTGACTTGGAACCTTTAAACAAAGGTCACACTTCTGAGGGGACAAGAGGGGCTTGGCCAAGATCAGTTAAAAGTAAAACATATTTTTATTAAATTATATGTAGTGGTTCTCATTCTTCAGGTGTTTTTATTATTGCACTATATAGTCAAAATTTCACTTAATTTGAATATTCAAATTAAATTATTTTCTGCTGACAAAATTAAATAATTTTGATATTTGCATCACAGGGTACTTTAATGTGTATGCTATCACCCTGTGTAAGCATCATTCTTGAGTCAACTAGGTTGGTATTATTAGGATCCATGCTAACCGTGATTTTTTATAAGTTGATACAAGGTTTTGAGGTTTTAAAGCACTTAATGAACATAATCTTTTAACTACTTTAAACATGGCTTTAAAAATGTTTTGTAAAATTATTTTTATAATTTATTAGATATTTCAAAAAAAAATTTAAGAAAACATTAAAAAAATTAAAAGAACATTACGAAAAACATTTTATCAAAATGTATAATTATGCAGGTGAACATCTGCGCACTCTTTCAAATTTGTTTCACTGAGAAAAATGTGTTTATGAATTTTTTTTATAAATTACTTTGTCAAGGAAATTTTTTAAAATAATAAGAATTATTAAAACTATATTATCAAAAAGTAAAAAGTTGAATAAAATTTGAAATATAAATATATTTATCCAACATATTTACATTAAAATCAAACTTTGAGTAATGAGCAAACTAGTCACTAGTTTTGATATGATAAGTCAAATTTTGTTTTTCATATTAAAATTTATTTTTTATGTTTAAGCATGATGGAGAATTTACATGGTCTGAAAGTCAACAAGGTAAACATTAATAAATCAAAAAATTGTGTTGTATTTTATTTATTTGAATGAATCAAAATTTATTTGTGCTGTAAAACTGTTATTAGTTTAAAGTTTTTAATATTAAAAATTATTGATTAAATGATTTTATTTATATATTTTTATATTTTTCTTGTTTACATTAATTTTTAAAATGAGTACTTAAAATCGTGTTTTTCTATGTAAGAAAAAAACTTTTATTTTTTTGTTATAATAGATTTCTGTTCACTTGCTTCCTGCTAAATCTTGTTTAGTATGATGTGATTTTTTGAGATTTGTTATTGGTGAAATATACGTGAACAGTTATTAACAAATATTATTAATAATTGCATAATAATTAAATATTATTATTATTAATAATTGTTCATCATCAAATTGTTACTGTTCACCAATAACATAGTAGACCAAAAAGAAGAGGACTGGTAGAACTAAACACACAGAGCTGAATGTAAAAAAAACAACAGGTATCCAAAATTACAAAGTGCTAAAAGATTGGGGATAAAAAGCGTACAAGAATTGAAAGGTAGTATTAAATAATTAAGGCTATGCAAGAAATGTGTATACTGCATGGCCTGATTGAAACTTGAAAACTATGTATATATGTGTGTGAGCCTAACTTACCTTACTTAGAAAATACACTGAAAGGCTTAAATGGTATAAGAAATCTGAATGTGAAGAGATGTTTCTCATTCAAAAACATACAACAAAAAGATTTTTTATATACAAAAAAGATAAATGGTTACAGTGCAAATAAATGACCAGCAGTATTTTAAAGAAAAAGGCAGTGGTGGGATTTGAACCTGGGACATTCTGTGTGTAAAGTATATGACTAAATGTGCATATCCATATGAAGAAATAAACGTAGTTATATAATAAATAAGTTATGCTAAAAATAACCACTACTCTAAAGCAACAAAAACAGCACACAAGTTATTTAAATTATAATTTTTTTAAATTTGTTTTAATTTCCCATTTTGTTAGTTTAGCTTTGTTTTTGAAACTTAGTTTTTTCTGCAACAATATAAATAAACTTGCAAACAGCCGTGACCAAGTTGCTCAAAATTAAATGCTTATAAGTGGACATACTAGACAAAAAACCACGCATGTTTCCTGGGAAGGCTTGTTACTGATTTTTTTTCTAGTAGTAGTCTAGTATTATGATTGTGTTACTGTTAGTAATCTGATATTTTACAGTTGTTGATGTGAAAAAAAAAGTATGAACAGCAAGCCTTCCCAGGAAATGCATAAAGTTTTTTGTCTTGTATGTCCATGCATGATTATCTTATTTTAGACAACTTGGTCCCAGCTGTTTGCAAGTTTTATTATGTGTTGCTAAAAAAAGTTTCAAAAACAAAGAAAGCAAAACTAACAAAATAGGAAAGTAAAATAAGCTTAAATAGAAAATAATAATAATAATTTAAATAATTCGTGTACTGTTTTTATTTTTGTTTATTTTCGGCAACAAAATTTAGTAAGTCAAAGCAAAAAAAAAAAAAAAAACAGTTTTAAACATTAAAAAGAATGATTCTCCTATATTCTTTTTTTTTTTTTTTTTTTTTTTTTTTAAGAGAAAAGTGAAAATATAAATTTTCATCTGTTTGTAAAATATATTTGTATAATTTTAATGTAACAAGTATATACAAGTATATATTGTCTCTATAAAAAAATGTCCATGTAATGCGTGCATATACTTTAATATATATCTTTTTGTATTATATAAGTATATTTATTTTATTATAAGTAAACGCGCGTTTAGCTCATTTGGATAAGGCGTAAACTACGTAAACCGAAAGTCCCTGGTTCGATTTCCACAATTGTCCACATTTTTTTTGTTTTTCTTTTTAAAAGATTTTTATTTCATAGGAGCAACTTTTTTTTTTACCGATATCTTAATAATTTTTAGATTTATATATCTTACTTATAATTCTTTTGTTTTTAAATTAAAACAAATATTAAAGCTTTACTTACAAATCTTATGATTTTCATTCGAGTGTTTTGCATTATATAGAATGTTATGTATACGCTCTCTTGTTTTTACACTATGATATTTTTTGTTTTCCCATCAAAAAAAAGTATTAACAATTACTTTCATTAACTGACAGTATTAATTAGAGATATTTGATAAACTGTTAAATTTTTTTATTATAAAAAATTTTACGCTTGGTTGTACTTGTAAATTACAATTACAACCAATAACAGGCAATGGTTGTCTTAGTAATTTACAAGTACAACCAATAACAGCACATGTCGGCATTATAAATTTTGATTATAAGTTTACTGTTCAATATTTTATAACCATCAAAAAAAAACATGAAGTGCGTATATTTTTGCCTGTTTAATACAGTAACATTTAACAAAAATACAGACAAACGATTATTAATTAACGCTATAATTAACACATTAATTACTGGCAATTCAAGGTAGATGGTAGTTAAAATTGTCAAAATGTTGTAAAATTGACAAATACAAGTTTTCAAGCAATTTTCTCTTTTAACTCCCATTTATTCAAAGAAAAGTTATTATTAAACTTTTATTTCTCTTATTTAAAAAAGAAAGAGTGACGTAGAAAAAAATATTTCAAACAATTCTTATTCATTTAAAGTTTGATTAAATGAAATTTTTCTTTCTCTTTTGTTCTACTGTTTTTTTATAAAAAGAGCATGCAATGAAATAAAAATTTTTCTTTCTTAACATAAAATTAAACTTAAAGATAAAATTAAATTAGAAATAAATGAACAGTGAGCAAAGTAACTAACAGTCTAATTTGGGACTATTTTGATATTGATGAAAATAATCAACATAAACAACATAAACAACAACAATAATCAAATAAACAACACAATATCACATAATTATACAGGATTTTTATTTATTGCTTAGTAGTTTTAAATAATAAATAAATTTAGTTAATATTTTAATATTTACAGTTGCAATATAATAAAATAAAGCTTTTAAATGTTGAACTTTTTATTTAATTTTTTATTTTTTATCTACATTTGTTATAAAAAGACTTTAGTACCCCATCATTAATATCATTTGTTTAAATATATTGCGACAAGATTATTCAAACTTTTTTGTTTGACTTCCTGAACTTTATGCAAAGCAAATTCAGACAAAATGTTGTCTAACTAATTAAAAATGCTGCTACTAATTTTATATAGCTAATTAATATAAAACAATTTTTTATCAGAATCTTGATTGAGATAATAAATATTCATCATTTAATAACTTTAAATATAGCGTGATAACAATTTGTAGCAATGAACCAGCATAAAATATTTAATGTTTTTTATATAAAAAGTAGAAAATAAATAACTAAAGAAATAATGAAAAAATCTATGAATAAATGACGTCAAATACTAAAACTTTTATGAATTGAACGCGCTTCAAAGGAATCGCCAAAGTCTTTAGATTGCTTCAGCTAAAACAAAAAAATTAGTTTTCCTCGGTATGCATTCATTATTTATTTTTGATAAAAAAAAATTGGTTGAAACCTTTTTTTTTTAACATTATCTTTAATATGAACACAACATGTGTTCAGATTAAAGATAATGGGATCTATTTAAGCCTTTTAGTGTATATAGTTGTATATATGTATTCAATTAGGCCATGTCATCTACAAATAACCTTAATTATTTCGCATTACCTTTCTTTTCATAAAGGGACAATATATATTGGTAACATTATACAAATATATCTTACAAACACATTGCAATTTATGTTTTCACTTTCTTTAAAAAAAAAAAAAATTAAATAAAGGAAACCCATTCTTTCTAATGTAGACGTGAAACTGTTTTTTTTTTGTTTTTTTTGCTTCGCTTTATCTAATTTTGTTGCTGAAAATAACAACCACTTTAAAAAAACAAAAATAAAACAGTACACAAGTTATTTAAATTATTAATTTCATTTTATTTATTTCTGTTTAATTTTCTTTTTATTTTCTATTTTGTTAGTTTTGCTTTTTTTGCTTTTCAAACTTAATTTTTTTATAATGATAAATATTATAAAAGTTGCAAACAGCTGTGATCAAGTTATCTAAAATAAAATACTTGAATGTGTTCGTACAAGACCGAAACTGCACATTTTTTCTAGAAAGGCTTGAACAGGTACACCATTCATGCGCAACAGGGCGCTGTTAGTACTCTGATATTTTATAGCTGTTGATGGAATCATCCTCTCTGAGAATTACCACAGAGTTCTAGAAACCTGACTACCAGCCACCCTTAGAACCATAAAACTGAGTTTTAGAGCTATACCCTCAGGAGATAATAAAATAAGTTGCTTAGTCTTGAAAACAGAAACAAGCAAAATTCATGCAATGAGTCAAGAAAATCCAGTATTCATAATCCTAAACCTGAAACAATGTATTATAAATACATTTATGCTAGCTCAATAGATAAAGAAAGAGTGCAAAGCTGATTAACAGCTTAGGAGGCCTTTGCTTAGGAGGCCTTCTACAAGACAATACCCGGATGCAGTTAACATCTGCCCAAGATGAGTATTTTTATCAAGACACTATCTCTAGACTTTACTTGAGTTAGCATCTTCTAGCCTTTGCCTAAAATACTGTATCCTACATAGGAGTGGGACATGAAACAGGTTACATGTTATCAGTAGCAAGACAACCTGATGTGCAAGCATTACAAGCAATCTCTAGAACTTTGTACTTAGCTTGTGAATAAAAATCATGGCAACAAATATCTAAACAAAATAATATTGCATTAAAAATAAAAAGTTATAGAAATCTACCCTAATATCCACCGCTGAGTTTTGAAAAATAAAAAGTAAGTACTAAAAGGCAACATCTTTTAGACTAAATATCATAAGTGTAACACTTTTTAGACTACTTATATCAGTTTTAATAAGGAAATATCTTCTTTGTCAGAAGTAATAGTGTTTGATAATTTTTGTCAGAAATTGTGTTTAATATCAGAATTTGTCAAAACAATAATGTTAAATACCAAAATATGTTGTATTTTGTTATTAAATATCTTCTTTGTTAGAATAAAAAGGTTAAATGTATTTCAAAAATGTGCGTTACAAGTTGCCTAAAATATGATAAAAACACAACTAATAATATTCCCGAAAGGCTGAGATTGCATATTTTAAAAAAACATCTTGTTATAAAACATTTAATTTAAGCATGAAACTTAAAGATACACTATTAACTATGCTGTACTATACAGAGTTTTTTTATTAGATTGATTTTAACTATGCTTGTCTTGTTTAAATCATTTTAAAGCTTTTCAATATTTTTTTTATGAAATACATTCTTTAAAAATATAGTTTTATCATTAAGCCTATAATTTCATAATAATTAATGTATAATAAATAATATCATTAAGCCTATAATTTCATAATAATTGTTCAATAATATATTACAAGTTTTAAAAATATTGTAGAGTAATTTGCACTCAGTATTACTGAAATAATAAATGTTAATTATAGAATTATCAGGGGAAATTTTGGTAAACATTCAATTCCAACAAAATTAATTTCAAAAAAATTATATATCTCGAGTTACATTAAGTAACTCTTACTCTGACACTTCTAACTACCGTTCCATTAGTCCTAGTCTTCTTCCTATCAAAAGCAAAGCCCATTAGTCTTCTTCCTATCATACTACTGTCCAATTAGTCTTTTTCCTTTCATACCTACCGTCCCATTAGTCTTTTTCCTATCATACCTACCATCCCAATAATCTTCTTTCTATCATAGCTTAGGTTACATTAGTATTTTTCCTATCATACTTACCGTCCTATTAGTCTTCTTCCTATCATACCTACTGCCTAAATAGTCTTTTTTCTATCATACCTACTGTCACATTAATCTTTTTCCTATCATACCTACCGTCCCATTAGTCTTCTTCCTATCATAAGCAAGGTTTTTGAGTCTATAACTAACAAACACTTTATCTCTCATCTTGAATCTAATAACTTACTTTTTGGTCATCAATATGGATTTTGGTCTTCTTGTTCTACTTCTGATTTGTTAATGGTAATAACTACTAGGTTTTATCATGCATTAGATTGATTTGAAGAAACTATGCTATCACTCTCAACATTTCTAAAGCCTTTGATAAAGTTTGGCTCGCTGGTCTTACTCATAAGCTCTCTTATCATGGTGTATCAGGTAACATCTTTAAGATTATTGAATCTTTCCTTACCAATCATAGTATAAATGTTGTACTCAAGGGACAGCACTCTTCTTAATATCCTGTAATTTCAGGGGTTCCTCAGGGTTCTATCTTAGCCCTATAATCTTTTTATTTTACATTAACAGAAATTCTTACATCTAAGGTGGCATTGTTCCCTGATGATGCTACCTTTTATTTTTGTCATGACAAGAAGCCAAAACTCTGTGATTGCTTGGAAGAGTAGGGGCATTTGAGCTTAAAAAGGATCTCACTACTGCTCAGCATAGGGCTCTTAGTGGCTGGTGAAGTTTAATTCAGCTAAAACCCAAATTTTTTCAGCTAATCGTTATCCCAACAATATAGATCTTCCTATATCTATGAACAGTAATGTACTCGATGAGTTATCTACCCTTCCTCTTCTAGGATTAACTGTGATCTTTCTTGGAAACCATATATCAAATCAATTGCAAAATTAGCACCTGCTATGGTTGCATCTTTTTATTGCTACTTTCTTTCTCAGGATTCTATTCTTTATCTCTATAAATCTCAAATCTGTTCTTGTATGGAATACTGTTGCCATATCTGGGGGAGATCTTCCAATGATGCTCTTTCTCTTTTAGACAAGGTGCAAAAACACATTTTAAACATAGTTGGACCTGCTCTTACAGCCAACCTCCAACCATTATCATATTGTTGTAATGTTGCTTTTCTTTGTTTTTTCTATAGATACTTTAATGGGCACTGCTTTAAAGAACTTATGTCTCTTGTGCTTTCTACTAAAATTCATTCTTGTGTTACTCGTCATTTAATCAAGTCTTATCATTTTACTGTGACCTTTTCCTAAGTGCTCCAAAAATTTTTATTTGTTTAGTTTTTTTCTTTGAACATCAGTTCTTCGGAACTTTCTTCTTTAATCTTATTTTCCTGATTCATATAATTTTCAATCTTTTAAGTTGTCTGTTAATCGTTATCTTGCTCTACAAACTTCATCTTTTCTCTTCCTGTAACTTTCAACTCAAATAATGGTTGCTTGCAGCCTTGTTGAAAGTTAGGTTGTTGAATAAAAAATAAACAAAGGTTTCTATTTAATATCTAATCTGTAGTAATTAAATATTTTAGTTAGAATTTAAAAGTTGATGATAAAGAAAAGCTATTTGTTAACTTTTAAGATTTACCAAACAATTGTGAATGAAAATTAATAAAGTGCCAAGATATATAAATTTTTATATTTTTTATTATACCTATGTAAACTGATTAAATAGTTTTTGTCAGAAGTAAATGAAAATGTCAGTCAAGCTTTTTTTGAAGGTTGAAGATTTCTGGTTCATGTTGAGAATTTCTAGCTTATTTTTATTATTGTTAATAAAATCAATAGTTAATGCACTTCAATTGGCTGCTACAAGGCTACTTAAAAGTGTTTTATGAGCTACACATTTAACAACTTTTGTTACCTGAAAGCTGTGAGCAAAACCCTGATAACTATTGGTTGGTCCAGTTTGTGTTAGTGCATTGAAGCCAGTAATGGTAACTCAACCCTTTTGACTTTACTTATGTTGTGTTATTATTTGGTAAGGTAACTTTGGCAACTATCGAGTGATTGGAGAGCAGCAGGTTGTAGCGCTCATGACTCGAAGAGGTGGGAAAAACTGTGAATTGATTTTGAATAGCTTTATGATTGTTAATATTTTTCATCGAAAAGGGTCTTCATGCTGCTAAATAATACAAATGTCTCATGTAAAAGGTGTTTTCAAATGTCTCATGTAAGAGATTTAAAATGTCTCATGTAAGAGGAATGCAAAACCAATATTTAACTATGCATTTAAGATTATCAAGAAAAGTTTAAAATATCTTTTTTGATTCTTCCACTGAAAAGGTTTCTGAACAATAACACCAAAGTCAAGTTCAAAGTTCAATTGTTTAAGAATGTGTTTGAAGTTTGTTTTCAACAACATTAAAGTGCTTGATGAATATGTTTGAAGCTTTTTTTGACAGTCATGGTTAAGCAGAAGCAAGAATCTTGAAATTCACATTTATGTTTTGTTGTGTTGTATGCAACAATGTTTGTTGAAAAACATGGACATACATTCATTTAAAGAGCAACTTACTATTTTTATATTGAAGAGAAGCTTTTTAAATGCTTTGGTTAAATCAAGCAAAAGCACCACAACATTAAAACATGGCTCCATGTTTAGATCAAACAATTATAATAGTTTTGTCAAACGAGACTAATTAGGGGTGAAGCCATGTTGGTTTGCATTAAAAATTTGGTTAAAAGATGTAATTGAAATGTAATGAGCAAATACAAAAAATAAATTAAATACAATAATCAAAAAGTTAAATCTTAAATACTATAATAAAATAAATAAATATATTTAAGTGAAAACTGAAATAAAAATATTTTTAAATAAAAAGTGAATAAATTTAATATATTGTTAAATATAAAATCTAATACAAGGAAAGAATTAATATGGAAATATTAATGTCTTTCCTTTTATTAGATTAGATTTTATTTGTATTAGATTATCACAGAGCTTTTGTGAATTAAAAATGCTATCACTCAAAATCGAATTAACAGGTTTATAGTGTTTTTGTTTAAAAAGATTTCATCTATTTTCTTAAATTTATGATAACTTTTGTTTTGAATTATTTAAGTTTTTTAAAAAGCAAAAAAAATTTTATCAAGATAAAGATTTTACAAATATATATCTCTGTTGTTATGACTTTAAAATTAATATTTTAAATGGTTTATATCTTTACTTTTTTATATATTTATATAGTATTGTAAAATTTATATATATTTAACAACTTAAATATATATTCGTAAATTTTATATATTTCTGTCATTTTTCAAAAAAATTTATTCATTTGCTATCAAAATTTTCCAAAAAACTTAAGGCAAACAGGACCAAATGACCACCCTGACAACAGTCATTTTTGTTATTCATTAACACATGTTTCGTTTGATGCTCTAACTAAATAACCTATCTAGCTATCCAACCACATATAATAAAAAACAAAATGTTTAAAAGTAAATCTGAGATTAGTGTGTATTCATTGAATCCTAATAATTTGATGAGATAATGAAAATCATAAGATTCAATTTAATACTATATATTTGGACCTGGAAAAATGTTTTTAGCGTGTGTTAATTGTATTAATTGAAAAGTTGTCATTAAAGAGTAAAATTTATTTAAAATAGTTTTATAAATAGCAGTATTACACTTGACATTTTTAGGAGTTATTTTGTCATCTTTCTTCTATGGATATCTTCTCATACAGTTTGCTGGGGGTGTGTTTGCAAACAAGTTTGGTGCAAAATACGTTTTTGGAATTGGTTTGTTTGTAACTTCAATTCTATCATTGTTGACACCAGTTGCTGCAAGAACAAATTTATATTTTCTTATTTTTGTTAGAGCTTTAAGTGGTGTTTCACAGGTAAATAAATTCTTGAATACTTCATATATATATATATATTAGGGCGGGTCAAATTGTATTAATAAAAATTTTCAAATAAAGTGTATAGTATATTCTGATTCTATATTAAATTATAAGCAAAAATGCTAAAAGAACCATAGGTCTAAATTCAATTTTGATGCCCCCACTTTTCAAAATTAAGTCTTGTTTAATAGTACTGTATTATTATTTACCTAATCAAATAATTTATCGTATTTTACAGCGGTATATTATTCGAATGCTTATTTTTCATATGTATTAAAAATAAAATAATTCTGTTTCCTATTTATATAAGTATTAAGTTATTCTATACCAATAAAATTTTGCATTTTGCATTTGTATTATTTATTTATAATAAAATATTTTACCAAAGGATGTGGGGAGCAGTATTAGGTGTGAATTATTCTTATCATATTTTTTTGCATCAATCTGTGTGATAAACGGTGCAAATCTTTTGAAAAGTCTTCTTTTTAGCGTGATTCTTTTCACCGTGAACATTAAATAAATATATCGGTTCTTTTAAATCTAGTCAATTCTACAATTTAATTACCTTATTAAAGGGTTGTATTATACTAATAATACTAATAAGTAGAATAAATAATAATTGCTTTTACAAATATAAAAAAAATATTCAATTATTAGAAAAATATTATGGATGCGTCTACATCGAATACAGAATTATCAGAAGCACCATAAATAATTTCTTCTCAGGATGTTACCATTTTTGCAATATAGGTCATCATTGGTTGAGTTTTCAGAGGAAATATTTTCAGAAATACCCACAATATCAAGTAGTAACGATCCAACATATGAATTTGAAACGTATGAAGTAACTGTTGGTGAAACAGTTAAAGAACCATCATCGAAACGTGGTCGTTACATGTCGAGATATGATGCATTGGAATTTGCCATGATATGCGATAGATTTGGCCATTCTGATAGAGTGGCTTCTGTTTTAGCAAGAGCACTTTTCAAAGACCTTAATATAAAAAATACCGACAGTAATCTTATGATTATGGATAAGTCGAAAGTAGCTAGAGAAAAACAGAAATGTAGAGATATGGTGCTTTGTAAGCAAAATATTGGTTCTTCTATATTATCATTTTCATTTGATGGAAGAAAAAATGACTCTTTCATACAACAAAAAATTAATGACAAATTTCATCAAAATATAGTAAAAGAGCATCATTTAGTTGTTACAAAGGAGCCTAATGCCACATTACTTGGATATGTAAAGTTGAATGGTGATAATGCAGAAACTCGACAAAAAACTTTAAATGAATTTTTTGTTAATAAAGATATATAACTAGATTCATTAAGTGGCATTTGTTGCGATGGCAAAGTTACCAATACTGGAACAGAAAATGGTGTTTTACATCGATTTGAATTGCAATTAGGAAGACCATTGCATTGGTTTATATTTCTACTACATTTTAATGACTTCCATTAAGTCACTTATATGAAGCATTGGAGAAATCAGCCACATCTGGACCTCGAACATCAACTGAAGAATTAGCCCAAAAGATTGTAGAATGTCACAAATTGAAGATAAGTAATAATTAATTTATTTTAATATCTGATGTTAACATTACATAAGATCTAAGTATTTCCATACAAACAAACACTATTTTATTCAGGTTGTAAGTGACTTTCAATGGATTCCATTAAAGAATATGCCTCCGCTTATGGAAGATCAACATCAAAAAGATTTATCTACAGACGTTCAATTTTTATTCAAGATAGATCAAGCAATTTCCAATGGCATCTGCTCAATGGATTTGGCTAATAATAAACCAGGAGCAATATCACATGCCCGCTGGTTAACTAAGGCTAACAGAATATTAAGATTATATGTGACAACTAACAATCTGTCGAAAAATTTAAAAATTCTAGCAGTTTATATAATGACTGTTTATATTCCAATGTATTTTAACGTTAAATATTATAGTTCTGTAGTATACGGTAGTCAACTTTTATCGGAATTTATTCAATGGACAAAATATTTATCTCCAAATTTACCTAATATTATAATTAAAGTTGTTGAAAATAATTCATATTATGCACACCCAGAAAATGTGTTATTGGGTATGCTATTTGATACGAGAAAAGACATACACAACTGGGCCATGAAAAAATTCTAAATTTTTGGAATAATTTAGACAATACTAAATTACACCAATATGATCGATTTGAATGATGATGTTTTATCTGAACCACCGTTTACACGCCACCTTCCCTATGATAACTTAAAAGACCTATTATAATTTGATGATATGCCACTGATGGATCCTCAAATTCCATTGCATATTCAAGGAACAGAGAGATACATTCAATTGCTAACTATTGTTTTGCGACGTGTCACTCACAAAAATCGAGAAAGGGTTACGGCGGTAACTGTAGAGAGCAGAAAAAGAACTCCTTGCTTGGAGAGCAAAATAGACTTCAAAAACAAGTTATAGTTTCATACCCTTATTATTTATTACGGGATTGTTTTGAGTCTAAAAAATTGTTGTAAAATAGGATTTTGAGCTTATTATTGATTTTTGAATGTCAAGAATTATTTGTGATTTTAGAATATATTATGTGTTAGTGAATCATTTTATTTAAGTTCATTTATTTAAAAAACCTTATACTTATTTTTAAGGTTTTTTAATTGTTTTAAATGTAGTCAAAATGGCCGAAGCAGAATCTTTAAATTTTATTAAACAAATATCTTGAAAATTTGAAGAGATGGGTATAGAGAATAGTTATATGAAAAAACTCAGAATTTAATTCTCTTTCAGATGGCAGTTTCATTTAGTGGGTGTTCCATTTAAAATAAGCGAGAAAAATAACTCTTTTTAAAATGTTTACGTTCATCTACATTGTAGAGGAAAATCAAAGTTTTAGTAAATGACTGTTCACGAGAACAGTCTGTTCACGAGATGCTTAATAAAACTGAGAAAAATAAAATCATCTAGGTCTTACAGATTTTGAGCAATGAGCCCTCAAAGTAGACCATGTTTTGATAAAAAATCTCGTATATCTCTTTAACTATCAGTGCTAAGCTATTAGTTTAAAGGAACTTATTTTATTTGTGTCTCAAGGAATTCATTTTTGTAAAAAAATATAGGGTGCTCCATTTAAAAAAGATTTGTATCGCCACGCTTTTATGGAACACTCTGTATAAATGAAAATAATTTTAGAATATAGCTTTTAAAAATCCTCACTACTTTTATATAAAACAATTTTTTGTAAGTAGCACAGTTTAGCCGCCATCCTCTGCCACGGTTGAATTGGGACACCCTGTATAAATACATTTTTTTATTGATTATATTTTTGTTGCTATTTTGAGTTTTATTTTCCAAGCTTTTTTTCCTAACAGATTTTTTGTTATCTATGTATATATTAAATATACTTGAAAAGTAGAATAAAATACAAAATAGAAATAATATTGCGTTTTTTTATATTAAAAAATAATTAAACATAAATGGCTATATAGCGACCCCTAGCGGTGGTTTACAAAGAATATAAATGTCACAAACGAATTCCTCGAACCAAGAAACAGTTTGGTAGAACTCTTTATCAATATTATAATCCGAATAAAACAAAATAAAGATACAATTCTGCACTTTTAAAATGGTAATAATAGTATATTAAACGAGACTTTATTTTGGAAAATTAGGGGTATCAAAATTAAATTTGGTGGTGTGGTTTGTTTAGCATTTTTTCTTATATATATATATATATATATATATATATATATATAATATATATATATATATATATATATATATATATATATATATATATATATATATATATATATATATATATATATATATATATATATATATATGTATATATATATATATATATATATATATATATATATATATATATATATACATACATATATATATATATATACATACATATATATATATATATATATATATATATATATATATATATATATATATATATATATATATATATATATATATATATATATATGTATATATATATATATATATATATATATATATATATATATATATATATATATATATATATATATATATATATATATATATATACATACACACTAGGGTGTCCCAAAAAACAACATTTTTGAAAATAATCTGCTCTCACCTCCTAAATGTGTTCTATCTAATACAAAAACACTAGGTTTAAATTTTTTTTGAATAAAAAATATTTTAAGGGGTCCCTCAAGACCCTCGAATATTTAATGGGTCCCTAATATTTTCGAAAAAAAAGTTTTTCAAAAATAGGTCAACCTGGTACTCAAATGAAGCGAAATTATATAAATATTTTAAAAATAATATTCATTTCGAAATATTTTTAACTTATCAAAATTATCATAAAAAAACATTAGAAATGCATTTTTTTTATTTTTTCTTGAAAAATGCAATTTTTTATGTAATAAAACTAAAAATAACAATTTTGTTTCTAAATGAATATTATTTTTAAAATTTTTATATAATCTCGCTTCATTTGAGTACCAGGTTGACCTATTTTTGAAAAACTTTTTTTTCGAAAATATTAGGGATCCATTAAATATTCGAGGGTCTTGAGGGACCCCTTAAAATATTTTTTATTCAAAAAAAATTTAAACCTAGTGTTTTTGTATTAGATAGAACACATTTAGGGGGTGAGAGCAGATTATTTTCAAAAATGTTGTTTTTCGGGACACCCTAATACACACTCTCCTCACTTTGCTTGTTTAGGTTTATCTTTATAAACATCTTTATGTGTGCATATATTTATTAATATCAATATAACGTAACAAAGTGTAGTTAAGTTAAAAAGAAAGATTTATTTTAATAAATCTATATTTAAAATGTTTTAAATCCTTTTTTTAAAAAGTAGATAACTTTTAATAAATCCTTTTTTTAAAATTTAGATAACTTAATATTTTTTGCAAATAAAATTTGTAAAAAATATTCAAAACTGTTTATATGAAAAAACTCGAGGACTAC